ACTTTTGCTTCTCTCATCCAGTCCAATTAACAAGTATTTTTCTAACCCCCAGAGATGCGATTTCCTTGGCCAACCTTCTGTGTGACATCTTATCAAGGATGAAAGAAAACCGAACAACAATAAGTCCAAATAAAAAAGTTAACAGATTAGTAAAGCGAGAAATGTATTTATGTAATTGTCTTTTATATCATATTTAACTAAATGATTTTACAAAGTTTCTTTCAACAGAATCGTTAAAATTTTTTCCCTATTATAGACTAACTTGCGCCCCCCAGTGGCACAGCGGCATGTCTGCGGACTTAAAACGCTAGAATCCGGGTTTCGATACCCGTGGTGGGCAGAGCACAGATAGCCCATTGTGTAGCTTTGTGCTTAATTACAAAACAAACAAACAAACTAACTTGCATATATTATCCAGGGCAATTTATCACTTCTAAAAATAGAACGAACGAAGCGACTTCTTCGAAATTTGATCATTTTTAGACCGGGGACGGTCACGTGCAATGTTGACCTCTTCCTCCCTCCTTGATGTTTGTTTTGTGCTTACACTTTGTGGTTATACGGAGGAATACTATTATTATTATTACGACACGAGGACTGGTGATTGTACCCAGTTTTCTCAGCACGTGCTCCGACCCCTATCAAGGCCAGGTCCATGTATGTAATTAAAATAGAATCAGGTGCGTTGACACCATTATTTCTTCATTTGGTTTGTGCAATAGTGCTGCACATTACAAATAGTTGCGGCAATATTAACTCACATTTTTCTTTCGATTTAAATCACAATATAATTTATTCTTCGTGTACGATGGTGCTACGTCAATCGATAATTGTTTTCGTTTTTTTAATGTCGCGCAGAGCTACACGAGAGGTATTTGTGTTAGCCGTCTCTAATTTATACTGGGGAGATGACAGCTTGTCATCATCACCGACCGCCAACTCTGGGGCAACTCTTTTACCAACGAACAGTGGGATTGACCGTCACATTATGATGCCCCATGGCTGAAAGGACGAGCATGTTCGGTGACAGAGATTCGAGCCCGTGACCCGCAGATTGCGAGTCGAGTGCCCTAAAAATAGGAGTAACAGGATTACAGCTGGAGGAGAAGTTGTCGTCTCGGGTTTGCAATTGTCAAATTCTCACGAATCATTAGTTTATTTTCTTCATTCTCACTCAACTATCACGAAGTTATCACCTGTTAATTACACAGTCTATCCCCAAAGTTTTAAAAATTGTTATAAAAAAAACACTTAGTAATAGTATTACCATACACCGGGCAACATTAAAAGTAAGTTAGTTTCAGCGATAAGTACAATTTAGTAATAGTATTACCATACACCGGGCAACATTAAAAGTAAGTTAGTTTCAGCGATAAGTACAATTTAGTAATAGTATTACCATACACCGGGCAACATTAAAAGTAAGTTAGTTTCAGCGATAAGTACAAATAGTATTACCATACACCGGGCAACATTAAAAGTAAGTTAGTTTCAGCGGTAAGTACAATTTACCCACAGATGGAAGATTGTTTAAACCTATTACTTTTTTTACGTGTTTCAAAGACGTAACACCTAAAATGTATAGGCCGTTTGTCATCTACAGGTTTACATGTTCCAGCTGTGTGAAATAATACATAAAATATATCACTAGGTGGCTGTCTATTCGCATTAAATTGCGAACCTGAAGCCAGGACTGCAATAGCACTTTTAGCTCACCGTACTTTACAACTTAATTCTGGATTACGAAGAGCTTTAGAGTAATTATTTCTAAGGCCAGTTTTATTCTTACAGCTACACCGTAACGACACGTAATCACAAGTTCGGGGGTAAATGTACACGACTTTTCAGTTCACATCATTTAAATAAGAAAATGTAACATAGGTGTGATATTTGTTCAGTTCAATATAAATATATTATCTACTTGTAGTCATTCCTTTGAAACTGTGTCAAAGAAAACAGAAAAAGAAATATTTCCTATTTTAACAACATTTGAAAAAACTGTTCCAATTATTAGTACATCGCAGTGTACTTAATAAATCACAATAACTAAAGAAATGTACGGTGAGAAACGTTTACTAACTCTACATTTTAATTTCTATATCAAGGTAACATAATTTTTTACCCATTTCAACGCAATTTTTTATAAAGAAAATAAAGGATACCAAACTCGGTGTAAACACTAAAACAGCTCACATTAACACATTTTAAATCCTATTAAAACAGTAATCAAGCCCTTCCTGTCAAAACATTTGCTTATAACCGTAAATAATATGACGTTTTTATACTTTTTTTTTCTATCAACAGTATTATCTAACGAACTCACGTGACGAGTATGATTACATAAATTAAACTAGTATTTTTTAATGTTATTTTTAGGTCTCTGTTGGTCATTTTTCAACAAAATCACCCGGCTACACGTGAAAGTTGAGTGACGTACAGATAAATTAATAGACTATAAATATATATTGTAACAACAGGTTTCGATAAAGATTACATGTGCGATTCGTTACTTCTAGTTTTGTTTGTTAACCTTCAAACTAAAGAAAGGGATATCTATGTTATGTTCAAAGCGGGTATCGAAACTCGATTTCTAGAGTATTAAGAACTCAAACTTACCGCTGGGCGACGGAGAGGACGAGTTGCTAATGTGACGATAATGTTATATATTAACAAGTGAGGTTGTATAGTGTAACAATAATGTTATATATTAACGAGCGAGGATGTATAGTGTAACAACACTGTTATATATTAATGAGCGAGGATGTATAGTGTAACAATAATGTTATATATTAACGAGCGTAACGATAATGTTATATATTAACGAATGAGGTTGTATAGTGTAACAATAATGTTATATATTAACGAGTGAGGTTGTATAGTGTAACAATAATGTTATATATTAACGAGCGAGGATGTATAGTGTAACAACACTGCTATATATTAACGAGCGAGGATGTATAGTGTAACAACACTGCTATATATTAACGAGCAAGGATGTAGAGTGTAACAATAATGTTATATATTAACGAGGGAGGATGTATAGTGTAACAATAATGTTATATATTAACGAGGGAGGATATATAGTGTAACAATAATGTTATATATTAACGAGGGAGGATGTATAGTGTAACAATAATGTTATATATTAACGAGTGAGGATGTATAGTGTAACAACATTGTTATATATTAACGAGTGAGGATGTATAGTGTAACAACATTGTTATATATTAACGAGTGAGGATGTATAGTGTAACAACATTGTTATATATTAACGAGCGAGGATGTATAATGTTATATATTAACGAGTGAGGATGTATAGTGTAACAATAATGTTATATATTAACGAAGCGAGGATGTATACTCGTTAATATATAACATTATTGTTACACTGAGGTTGTATAGTGTAACAATAATGTTATATATTAACGAGTGAGGTTGTATAGTGTAACAATAATGTTATATATTAACAAGCGAGGATGTATAGTGTAACAATAATGTTATATATTAATGAGCGAGGATGTATAGTGTAACAATAATGTTATATATTAACGAGTGAGAATGTATAGTGTAACAAT